TTGCAAGACCAATGATTTATTTATTGCAAATATCTTTTTAAAATTATATAAAAGGTGACTATACAGTGGTGGTGGGGTTGGCCCAGGATTGGACATTGTTTCGTTCTACTGTGCATGGGGTCGCTATGAGTTGGTTCCGACTTGATGGCACCTGACAACAACAATACACCTGAACCTCTCCAGATGGCATACACAGGAATCAAATTGACTACATCTGTGGAAAGAGTTGATGGAGCAGCTCAATATCATCAGTGAAAACAAGGCCAGGGGCCAACTGTGTACCCATCAATTACTCATATGCAAGCTCAGACTGAAATAAAATTAAAACAACTCCACAAGAACAAAAATATGATGTTGAGTATATCCCACTTGAATTTAGAAGGCATCTCAAGAACAGATTTGATGCTCTGTCTCTGAACACAATTTGCTGTTCTGTCATTAATCTTCAGTCATTAGATATTAATGACTGAAGACCAGCAGAGTTGTGTGATGACATCAAGAACATCATACAGGAAGAAAGCAGAAGATGATTAAAAAGACAGGAAAGAAAGAAAAGACCAAAGTGGATGTCAGAAGAGACTCTGAAACTTGCTCTGGAGTACAGAGTAGCTAAAGCAACTAGAAGAAGTGATGAAATGGAAGATCTGAATAGAAAATTTCAAAGGGTATTTCAAGAAGACAAGGCCAAGTATTATAATTAAATATGCGGAGACCTGGAGTTAGAAAACCAAAAGGGAAAAACATGCTTAGCATTTCTTAGCCTGAAATAACTGAAGAAAAAACTCAAGCTTTGGGTTGCAATATTGAAGGATACTATAGGCAAAATATTGAATGAGCTGAAAACATGGAAAGAATATACAGTCACTGTACCAAAATGAATTGGTCAACATTCAGTCATTTCAAAAGGTACCATATGGTTAAAAACTAATGATATTGAAAGAAGTCCTAGCTGCACTGAAGGCATTGGTGAAAACAACACTCCAGGAATTGTTGGAATACAAATGGAAAGCTTCTAACAAACAGATGAAGTACTGGAGGCACTCACTTATCTATGTCAAGAATTATGGAAGACAGCTTTCTGATGGGAAGAAATCCACATTTGTGTCCGTTCTAAAGGAAGGAGACCAAATAGAATGCAGAAATCAACAAACAATATCATATATATCACATGTAAATAAAATTTTACTGAAGATAAATAAAAAAATAGCTGCAACCGTGTATCAACAAAGAGCTGCTAGAAATTCAAGCTGGATTCAGAAGAGGATGCAGAATGAGGGCTATCATTGCTCAGATGACATCAGCTGGATCTAGGCTAAAAGCAGAAAATATCAGAAAGAGGTTTTCTTATGTTGTATTGACTAGGCAAAAGTTTTTGAGTGTGTGGGTCATGACAAACAATGGATAACATTGCAAAGAATGGGTGTCATTCCAGAACACTTAATTGTGCTCATAAGAAACTTGGTACATAGAACAAGAAGCAGTCATTTGAGTAGAGCAAGGGGATACTGAATGGTTTTAAATCAAGAAAGGTGTTTGTCAGTGGTGTATCCTTTCACCATACTTACTCAGTCTGTATGCTGAGCAAATAATATGAGAAACTAGATTATATGAAGAAAAGCATGGCATCAGGTTTGGAGGAAGACTCATTAACAACCTGTGATTACTTGCTGAAAGGGAAGACGACTTACCAGTACATATTGATGAAAATCAAAGACTTCAGTATGGATTTCACCTCAATGTAAATAAAACAAAAATCATCAGTACTGGAGCAATAAATAACATCATGATAAGTAGAAAAAAAGATTGAAGTTATCAAAGACTTCATTTTGCTTGCATCCACCATTAACAATTATGGAAGTAGCAGCCAAGAAATCCAACTCTGTACTGCTTTCAGCAAATTTGCTGCAAAGGATCTCTTTAAAGTGTTCCATCGCAAAGATGTTAGTTTGAGGACTAAGATGCACATGACCCAAGCCGTGGTATTTTCAATCACCTCATATGCATGTGAAAGTTGGACAATACAAATGGACGATCATAAAAGAATCAATTTATTTCAATTATGGTATTGGTGATGAATATTGAAAGTACCACATAGTGCTAGAAGAACAAAAACATCTGTCTTGGGAAAAGTACAGGCAGAATACTCGTTAGAATTTAGAGTAGTAAGACTGTACTTTGGACATGTCAGAAGGGGCTAGTCCCTGGAGAATGGCATCATGCTTGGAAAAGTGGAGGGTCAGTGAAAAACAGGAAGACCACCCAACAAGATGGTAGTAACAATGGGCTCAGACATGACAACAATTGTGAGGGTGGTTCAGGGCTGGGCAGTGTTATGTTCTGTTGGGTGTAGGGTGGCTATGAGGTGGAACCAATTCATCAGCACCTAACAGCATCACCCAAACTCTGTAACTAAAGTTTTAAAACAAAATAAGGCAAAATAACATCTAATTGGTCTAACAGCTCACTCATTTTGATAGTCATTCTCAACATCATTACTGTTGCTGTTAAGTGCCATTCAGTCGGTTCTAACCCAAAGCGACCCTGTATAGGGTTTCCAAGGAGCAGCTGGAGAGCCAAATCTCAAAGGCAAGGCTGTTATATGTCACAGGTTAAGTAACTCTGCCTCTCCAAGCTATGCATCTGCTAATGTCATCATTATCTGCAAAACAATGGTTTGTCAACAACATCCAGAGGGACCATTGTGAGTCATCATGTTAAACGCCTTAACTTTAAATGAAGAAACTGAGGCCTCACCATGTGCAGCCCACAGAGGCTTCCTCTGATTCCTGGCTCCCAGCTCTTGTCCCCCCTCTCTACTTGCTCTTCCACTTGTAGACATTGCATTTCCTTACAGGTAGTGCTGAACTCCTACAGAGATGTGACATTGTGAAGGTGGTAATCATTTTCTTTGCTTTGCTGCTTCAAATAGGAATTTTTAAAGGTGACAAAAAACAGCAAGCATTGGTCCTCTTTGACCTATACTCCATGTTGCAGCAGAGAGCAAGTTTTACAGCAGAACGAATCCTGTTTTTGAATGAGTATCAGTGTAACGTAGCATAGTGGTTATGAATTGGGCTGCTAATCTCACAGTCAGCAGTTCAAAACTACCAGCTGTTCCACAGGAGAAAGATGAGGCTTTCTGCTCCCTTAAAGATTTATAGCCTCGGAAACCCTGTACAGGGTTTATGAGTCCGAAACCAACTCCACGTAACCACCACCACCACCATCAGTGTAACAATGAGGTGTGAAAACCCTCAGCAAACATGTAAATAAGATTCGGTGTGAAGAGCTTGTGTTCACTGGAACCCAAGCAGTGAGCGAGCAGACCTTTGCCAACTTCTAGCAGATGATGAGGTGATTCTTCTAGATTGTTCAGAAGCACTCCCCACTACTTGGCAAGGCAAAGGAAACTCATCTCTGCACTGGGATAGTCGAATGTATTACAAAATTGCCCACTGAAAAAATAGCACATCTCTGTCATATTTAGAAAACAAGAATACATACAGAAACAGTAAAAACATTGATAGGTTTTGTATTCATTTGCTACCTCTTTTCCTTTCCCTCTTATATAGTTTCTCTCAGTATAGACTTGATTTAACTAATTCTGAGGATTTACTTCTCGGATCAAATGATTTATAAAATTACCCACTTGATATCTAAACACACTCAAGGAGTCCTGGAAAGAAATCTGCAAAGAATTCACCTAAATCTTTCTATGTGGTCTGGTGTAGTGTAACGGATGTATATTAGAATTACAGTGAAACCCAGGTAGTGACTGCAGCCACCCTGTGTTTGTCACTGAGCTCAAAGATGATTGGATGTTTTTGAAATACTCCACCTCCTATAAAACCCACTCAGGGAGGTGACAAGACTCATATTCTAGTCTCCGGGGGAGAACCAATGCAATAGTCCTTTTGCTTTGGATGGGAAGAATATGTGATATCTGGTTTTAAAGCATTCATTGTATGGTGCAAACTGTTATGTTAACTGAAAGGTTGGAGGTTTGCATCTACCCAGAGGTCCTTGTAAAAAGGCCTGGTGATCAATTTCCCACAAATCAACCATTGAAAACTCTGTGGAGTAGTTCTACACTGACTCACATGAGGCTGCCAAGAGTGGAAACTGACAACTGATGGTGGTTTTAAACCTAGGCTTGTCAACCCAGTTACAAACTCTACATTAAAATACCATAGAGGGGATTTCTGAGTTCAGACTTCCAGCCCAAACCTGCAAGACTCAGATGAACTGAAGTACCTCCTCTGAGGGCTCCCATCTCTTGTCATACCGGCTCTTCACAGAACTTGGTAAGTGGAAGCAAGTGTGATGTAACTTAAAATAATGAGCAGTGGCCTCTGCAGGTTCAGAGCTTAGTGGTAGGGTCTCTGGTAGCTTGGATTTTCAAATTTCACTTAAAATAATTTAGATTCTTTATAAAAGTTGGCTTTAGATTGTTTCTGGGTGCTGAGGCACGTCCAAAGCCATACACATTTCACGCTGAAAGGCTATGATGATCTTCAATCTAGGAGATGGACTACAAACTCATGATAGCAGGAACTATAAAACAACAACACAGACTGAACAACAAGAAAGGAGTGGATGTAAAATAACTACAAATAGTCTTTAAAAAGAAACTGCCAAAGAAATCAAACACCATTTCAAACAATAAGACGTGGACAAAAGTGACATGAAACTAAGAAACCCTAGTGGTGTCCTTTCAGTCACTGTTTTAGGAGTTTCTGAAGTAAATGTCTACAAGGACATTGGAGGAAAAAATCAACTTTCAGCTTCCAAGCTGCCAAGGCCATGGACTGTTGTGGAGATGGAGAAACTGCAACCTGGTTCATGTGACTTTGGATATTGCTTTTCGTTACCCTTCTTGAATGGAGTACCCTGGAGTTGCCAAGGTGTTCAGGAGCTGCGAGTGCCTGGTCCAAGTCCTGGAGCACTCCTCCCCTTCTTCTCCTCGGGTCCTACCATCCCCTTGGTCTATACTCGCCATTTCAAGACTTCACCTCTTCACAGTCTTGGTCAGTGGAAAGTTCTACATCAGACAGTCCAACCTCCATTGCCATAATCAGTGAGATGTCAGAATCACTGCTTACAGCCGGCTCCTGTTCACCTGGGAGAAGGAAGTGAAGTTCATGGTCAACAGTAAGCTCTGCCATTGGATGTTGGTTATTTTAATACAATTGCCTCAAATATTTTCTTTAAATGCTGAGAGAAAGCCTTAGAAAAAGAGGCTATCTTGTCAGAATTCTAGTTAGAGTCTCATCTCACACTATGCCCCAAAATAAATTCTAAATGGGTCAACGCATTAAAGGTAAAAAAATAAAACTGTAATAAAGCTAGGATAAAATATACCCCCCTAAGAGGTCCCTGAAGTCCTGGTGTGGCACTGTGGGTTAATGCGCCAGACTGCATAGCCGTTTGAACTGCAAAGGTCAGTGGTTCAAGCTTACCAGCTGCTCCTCGGAAACCCTATACAGGGTTGCTATGGGTCGGAACCGACTTGATGGCACTTAACAACAACAACAAAGGGGTCCCTGGATGGTACAAATGGTTAGGCATTCAGCTACTAACCCAAAGGTTAGCAGCCCAAAGGTGCCTTGGAAGACAGGCATGGTGATGTGCTTCTGAAAGGTCATGGCCTTGGAAACCCAATGGAGCAGTTCCACTCTACACATGGGGTCACCGTGAGTTGGAATCATCTTAACAACAACTAATAACAAACCACAAGTATACTTCTAACTAGGGAAATATGTACCTAATATATTTAATTAGGGAAGACAGTCAATGTAGAAAAACAATTGAGCAGTTCATAGAAGATTGGAAAGTATATATAATATTTTAAAATGTTAAAAAAAAGATAAAATAATAATTCACATAACAAATGGGAAGTTTATTTTAAAAGTTCACATTCTAATTATTGTGTTCTTAATGTATAAAGAGATTTAAAATGAATAAGGAAAAACTAACAGTCTAATAGAAAAATGAGCAAAGATTAACTTTGTATAATTAACAGGAGAACATAAGTGACAGTTGAAATATGATATAAATAAGAGACTAATCTTTGTCTATGAAATCTTCACTCTGTAAAAGATGTTACCATTGAGAATACTTTGATATATTGCATGTAGAACTGTGAAATTTTCACCTGTTAAGGTCAGTTTGAACTGCAAGGTCAGTGGTTCAAGTCCACCATCCACTCCTTGTCTCTGTATGATAAGCTCTAGACTACAGACCACAAGGTAAGAGATTGGAATCCACTAGCTGATCCATAGAAGAAATATGAGGCTTTCTGCTCCTGCAAAGATTGAAAGCCTCAGAAACCGTATCCGGGTCATTACGAGTCTGAACTGACTCAATGGCACTAAAGAATAATAACAATTTCATTTCTAGAATGTATTATAGAGAAATAATCAGAGACACAAAAATAATCATTTAGGCATTACATCTAGTAGCTAACATTGCAAGTAAGTTAAAGACTAACAGTAGAGAATGGTTGAATAAATTATGACATTTCTAAAGGACAGTCTTCTTGTTACAGATATTAAAGTGGCATTTCCAAAGAAGTTGACATTACATTAAAAAATGCTCACAGTACACTATTAAGCAAAACCAGAAGCATCCAAAGCTTTATATGTAGTGAGATGTACAGAGAAAGTTAACTAAAAGTAAAGACACCAAACGGTTACTAAGAATTTTCTTTAGTTGCTGCTCCATGTTTAAGGCAAATTGCTGTTGTTGTTAAGCGTGTTTGAGTTGGTTCTGACTCATGGCAACTCTATAGGGTTCCTGAGGCTTTAAATCTTTGCAGGAGCAGAAAGTCTCATATTTCTTCTGTGGAGCAGCTAGTGAACTCCAACCTCCTCCCTGTTCCGTAGTCTAGTGCTTATCATACAGAGCCACTGCACGCCCATATAGGTGAGAGCAAGGCAGAATATCTCTCCTCGAGGAGTCTGGTATGGCAGATAAAACATTAAGTAGGTGATTGCAGCACAATGGGATAAGCACAATGATCGAAGGTGTACCAAGTATAATAGGAAAATATGGCAAGAGGGCTACGTAAACATTTGCAGAGTCAAACACTTCTTCCCATGGAGGGTGATATCTAAACTGAGGATAATTTGTACTTTATGAAGTTGAATAAGAATAAAGAATATATATATTTTTAAGTTTTTATTGTGAATTATATGGGTTTACATGGGAGAACATCAGTTTTACATTTATCCTATTATAATTAATTACATTGCAATGGTTACAATCCCCTCCATGTATCATCAAATAACCAAAGGATACACCCCACAGGCCCGCCTCCCCAGCGATCAGCACACAGCCCCTCTTCCTTCCTGAGTCTAGTGTCCCCAGCTGCTCCATTTGTCCACATCATTATCTCTGTCTCCATCCCTGGCATCACTGCCTCTCTGGGTAGGGTCACACTCTCCGTTCTTCTTGCTTGATGGTCCCAGGGACCTCGGCTCCTGGGCTGCAAAATCAATCACTCTCCTTCTTTTGTCAAAAAAACAAATCTACCTCTACATTTCAAACCCTCACAGTCAGTCCTGATGGCAATTATTCACTATTATACCACAAGAGTCTTATCCCCATTTCCTTTTGCCAGCCTGATCCCAACAGATTAGAAATCATTCAGTGGAGGTTCTAACTACCCGTGCCCCGTCTGGAACTAGGCTCCCTCTTGAAAGTTTGTAAGCCAGTCATTTCTTGCCTTTATAGCTACCCCTCCCCCCATTTTGAGTAGCCAATGTCTAAGTTGACCATCCCTGTCAACCCTGTGTACCAAAGGTGATGGGAGTAATCCTTACTGTAAAGATTTTTTCCCTTTTTTGAGCTACTACATCCATACGTACAGGTAAAATTAATCAAATTGTAGTGGGTTACTTTTTTTTTTTTTTAAATTCCCTCTTCTTTCTTCTTCTAGTCGAGTTCTGATCATCCAGCCATTGAAGCCAGGTCAAGTGGGAACTATCTGCAAGTATGGGTGTTCTTGGGCACCTCCCCTCACTTCATATCAGCTGGATGCTTCACTCTCTGTTCTAGTCCTCTGTGGCCATGTTACTGCCTCTGGGCCCAGGAGTCCTCGGGTCTTGCTGTACTGCTGGCCATCCAGGTTTCTACCTGGGTTCACAGGAGTCTGTTGAATGTGGTGAGACTTAGCTCCCAACTTCATTGCAGTTTTCTCCCCATCTTCCCCTTATTGGTGACCAACGTGGTCGGTCACCAGCCAGACTACATGTCTCCTTGTGTATTCCCTTTGAGTCTTAATCTTGGAAGGGAGTTTGCTTTGAGGGGACCCAACCACTTGCCTTGATGGCTCCCAGGCAAACAGCTTACTTGTTCTTGTAGTAATCAATCATACTGCCATTGTTGTTTGTAATTTTTCATGCTGGTCTTTCTTCACAAAGTTTATTCTATTCTTCTAGCCACTGCAGGCTGGTCTACTCGTCCTTTCCAGTGGAAATTTCCCACCTCAGATGATTCTGGATGGGGTTCTAGTTTCCACCTATGGTTTTATGCAATGCAAAAGCTCCACAGGAGGTCTCTTTCACTGGGCATCTTACAGCCTCCTTTAAAGTATTCCAATCAGTTATGGGCTGAAGATGGACTTACAAGCTTTCTATTGTGATGTTTCTGAATATTCCTCCCCCGACACTGTCAAGTGTCTATTTCACAATGGTAAGCAAGGGAAACCAAGATTCAAAAGACAGCCAAGCATCTTAACATTTTTCTCCTCTTTTACCCTATCAAAACCATGCCTCAATCCCTGTATCCCAAAGCCCTGTTGTTCCAAGGTTGTGCACATATCATCATTTACCTCTGTTCCACTTAGCCCATGCAAACCTGCCTAATTGTTCTCCCACCAGCCTCCTCCACCTTCTTGTGTATTGCCCGCTCCCCCCCGCCACACACAGCACCCAAGCTTTCCTGTATCTATTCCCTACCCTGTGCTCTATCTTCCCTTTCCTCCACCCCCTCCTCTCATCCCATACATCCAAGTGATCAGCAATTATACATATATATAGTTTTTTTTTTTTCCCCTTTTGGGTGGGTTCAAGAATAAAGAATATTTTAAGTGACAACTATAGCTTGTAAAGATGCTTAGATGTGAACAAAAAAACCTAGGTGGACGACAGATTGAATGTCAACAAAACTCGGATATAGAGTCAAGGTAGGGAAGATAAGCAACTCAGGCTGCATAAAAGCAGCTTTAACATCAAAAGGTCTTGTATACTTCTATGTCCTTCAGAAGAAACATACAACTAAAAGACCAGCAAAATGTCAAGTACTAAAAATAATGATTAAGTACTTATGCAGGTTTGTTTTTTCTTTTTTGAATATGTATGATTTTTTGAAAGTATATGAGTTTTCTGAAGAGCAGTAGATGCTTAAGATTTTAAAAAGAGGTAAATTAAGAGAACTAACAGTTATGGCCTTAAGAATCAGTGTTAGAAAAATGGTATGTATGTTAAACAAAGAAATACTTAACCTTGAGATTGAGCACTAATACATTTTTCTAGATTCATAAGTGCATAAAGTTCATAGTTATGTATACAGATCAAAAGCTAGAATAAATATTTGGAGTCAGCTGTGTCCTGCACACATAGCTCGAGGCAAGAGTGAATTCAAATCAATCAAAACAAGAAAGATTCGTACAAAATAGCTCAATTTCTATGCTATCAAACTCCAGAAACATATAAGTATTTGAAAATAATAACATTGAAAACACATTCAATAAAGCTCGTTATTTAGAAAAAAAAAATGAAATTGGATCCCTGCCTTGCACTTTACAACAAATTACATCCTATCTAGATTAGCTGAAGCCATATACATATACACATATGCAGACCTGCTGTTCAAACTTACCTGTGGTCCTGGACATTATCCTGCAGTGCCACATCAGGACTCCTAGGTGTATATATGCACATATTTATATATATGATGTACATATATGTATAATATACAGGCACATTTTATTGCAGTTCACTTTGCAATAGCTTGTGTTTTTTACAAATTGAAACTTTGTGACAACTCTGTGTTGAGAAAGTCTATCAGTGGGAGTTTTCCAACAGCTTGTGCTCAATTGGTGTTACATTTTAATAA